GCTAACATTCTTAATCAGTTTTTCAGCAGTGTATTCACAGATGAGGACTTGAACAGTATTCCAGATATTGAGGAGCGCCCAGTTGGCTCGAAGTTAACATGCTTTGAAATACACAAAGAAGAGGTTCTCAAGTGCCTGGTAGCTCTAAATCCCAACAAGTCATGTGGACCAGATGGCTTCCATCCCAGATTGCTCAAAGAATTAGCAACCGTTCTGGCTGGCCCATTGACAGTATTCTTTCAAAAAACCTTGAACGAAGGAACTTTGCCGTCTGACTGGAAAGAAGCTCAAGTAACACCATTGTTCAAAAAAGGTGACAAAGCAGCCCCGGCAGCTATCGCCCTGTCAGTCTGACGAGTGTTGTTTGTAAGCTAATGGAATCTGTTGCGAGGGATAGGATTATTGATCACTTGACTGTCAACATTGTTTTATTGCCGGCAGATCTGGCACCACTAACTTATTATCTACGTTGAACGACTGGACTTGCCTGCTGGACAAAAGGGAGCTAGTGGATGCATTGTACCTCAATTTTGCCAAAGCATCTGACAGACTGACAGTGTTCCGCATGAGCGGCTGTTGCGTAAAGTGAAGTCCTTGGGAATTGAGGGAAACGTACTCCAATGGATCAGAGATTTTCTAGTAGGTAGATGACAACATGTCAGTATTAATAGAAGTACCGTGTCAGACTGGGCAGTGGGCATCAATGCGCAGTGGTGTGCCACAAGGAAGAATTCTGGGGGCCGGGGCCTATTTTGTTCCTTGCTTCTATAAATGATCTGCCAGAAGTAGTGTCCAGCGTGTGCTCCATGTATGCCAATGACATAAAAGTTTATAATTCAGTGAAGGATGCGTCAAATAAAGTGCAATTACAATATGATCTTGACAGTTTAGTTAACTGGGCTGATACGTGGCAGCTATGGTTTAATGCTGACAATTGTAAAGTACTTCACCTTGGGAAAAACAATGAACAGCAAGATTACATTATGAGAAGACATGGTTGCTACAAGAGAGTAATGATTGAAAAGTCTAGGGTGGAAAAAGATCTCGGAGTTTATGTTGACAAGGAGCTGAAATTTTCTAAGCATGTTGAAACGCAAGCTAACACATCCAACTAACTTCTTGGACTAATCAGACACTCATACAAGTTCCTAAATGCAGAAGCGATGAAGCAGTTGTTTGTTGCTGTCGTGCGCCCGAATCTAGAGTTTGGAAACTTTGTGTGGTCACCAAGATTTGAAAAGGACAGAAATTTAATAGAGAATGTTCAACGACGTGCAACAAGGATAATTCCAGGCTTGAAGGGCAAGTCCTATGAAGAAAGGTTGAAGATTATGAAGCTCCCAAGCCTCAGTTATCAACGTCTGCATGGGGACCTCATTGAAGTACGGTATACAAGTACCTATACTCATGGTCTATACAAGGTCCCCAAAGGATTACTAGAATTTGAAACAAGAACCAACACCAGGAGCCACGGCTATAAGCTAAAAAACTGAGCTGCAACTTCTCCACAGTCCACACGACAAAATTTCTTATCGCTTTGAATCACCGACATGTGGAACATCCTCCCCGATGACATTGTTGGCGCTCTAAGTATAAATGCGTTCAACTGACGGTTCAAGAACAGACTAGATAAAGCTATGGAAAAATATATGTTCAGATTTGAAATGTAATGCCTAGCTCCTTATCAAACCCAGTGGAAGTCTAGTAGCTAGCTACTTCAAACTATCGTCAGTCATGAAAAGATCTGGTCAAATGACACGATTTTAGATCTTCTGTCAGTTCTGTGAACAAGGCACAATTTCACAAAAAGGAAAAGAATCAGCAAGAGGCCACATCAGGGCGATGATCAAGCCTACGCTTCAGCAAACGCCGACATCACTATGTTATGTTATAACTCCCTAAACTCAGATCATGATAATTTATAACTTTAATATGGTTTAAAGTTTAAACACATTCACAATTCAATTTCATGCCCACTAATTTCTTTAAAATTGCCTTTCCTATATTTGCTTGGATTATAATCACACACTCTATTGATTTGAATAAAAATCTTGATTTTGTAAATACCATTGGGTCAAAATTAAAACGGTAAAACCGGTGGGACAGTGGGACTAAGTTGAACTGTTGACTAGGTAGGTAACCTGTACCTGACTCATGACTCAACATAAGTTACCTAACTAGGCTCCATACAGACCATACTAGGATACTTGTGAATTGAAAACGGGAGTATGACTGTAGGAGTCTAGGAGACAATGTTGAAAATATCCTAGCCACAGCGCAAAATGGTAAAGATCAAAACATGCTACATGACGTGTGATGCATTTAGATGATTAGATCAGTTATCATCAGTAGATTTATCATCATAGGATTTGGATTTGGGGCGTTGTGACTCTGAGAGAAAGAATTTCAGGGTCAGGCCTTTGCAACGGCCATCAGCCACGCATCACATTTACATTTGTTAGTAAGAAGAAGGAAGGGAGACCAAGCCAGGTGGAAGCAACATTAAAGAGAAGGCATATCTAAGGCAGTACGACAGGTAAACATGGGACAAACGGTAGATAATGCTCTGGAAGTTGATATATCAATATAGGTTAACATAACTTGCGAGTTTGCAAAATGCAAATAGCCTAGTAGCCGAGTATCGCCCTGTCAGACAGACGTAAGCAATGTTATCACAACTTATCAGTGGATGCAGTGTAGGTCCCTCGATTAAAATTCAAGGTTGCCAGATCATAGATGGAGCCAAGAGAAAAAGGCCAACTTAGCTCACAAAAAGGCCAAAAAGGCTACATTAGAAATTGATGAGAAATTTATAAATTTAAGGTAGTTCTAACCATTTGCAGTGCATGCATTTACTCTCAAGGCTTTCAGATGCCAAAAATACACCATTTTCACCAAGTGTACGAGCTGAATTACCGTGAATGCTACATAGCTAAGCCGCCAGGCACCAGCCTGCAGCGAATTGCACGTTACTCGCTGACCATAAATAAAACTATATAATACTGGTCGGAACTCGGAACTATGATGTTTAGGATTCGATTGCCACCTGTAAAAAGCTTTTAGGGAGCAAAGCCGTGCACCACCAATTTTGTTCACCATTAAGCCCTGAACCGTGTCCTCTGTTCACCATTAAGCCCAGCCGTGAACCACTCGGCTTTGTCCTCCTCCGGCATTGCATAAAACCTACCGTGCACCACCAGGGCCGCGGATCGAATATGACTTCTAGGCATCGTTAAATTACGTAATTTTACGTTCGTCGGATCTTAGGTTGTGTTTCAGATAGCATGGTTCTGCTCCAAAATTCATCGTCCTTCGACGAGTGGCCGTTCGACCGAGGGCTGGTTCGACGCACGGCCTACATCCGACTGTCCACAAGTGTTGAAGGCTATGTTCCGTAAGGCAGGAATCATGATGGTCCATTACATCCAGGCCAGTGGTAGTTTTCAGCAGGCAACCCTAACCATGGTTGAACTATTACTAGTTCAACCATGATCCAAACTTTTCGATTGCGTTAGAGAGTTTTAGCTCAGTTTTGCTAACAAAATAGATAGTGGAGTGCCGGCGACATAAGTGATGTGACGAAGTTTTTTGCATTGACGGTAGAATATTTATATGCGGAAATTAAAATAAATTTAAACTCATTTTTGTGGAATAAAGATGATGTGGTCCTTGCAAGACTAAGGTAAATATTAAGTAAATCCTTTAATTTAATCACATTTTTAAATGCGCAGAATAAAATATATTGCCTATCATAACTTGGAAAGCAGTAGTCATTATATATATTCAAAGTGAAATTTTGTAGTGACACAGTCACACACCAAGGCTGAATGTATCGAAAAACAGCGCTGTAACCATACAAATTAGTGCTGAATTTACTACTCATTAGAAGTGAAAACTATACTCGATTAAACGAGCTCTCACTAAACTGAATTATAAGTGAAGGACAAAATTACTACAAAAAGTCGAGAATTAAATTTTTTATAAAAAGGCCCCAAAAAGGTCAAAAAAGCCCAAATCAATTTTTGCCAGGCCAATGCACCTTAAAAAAGGCCACATTTGCGTAATTTGGCATGGAAAAGGCCCATCTGGCAACACTGCTGAGTCGATTCAAAATTTCAGCTGCAATGAAAACTACTCAAAATTCTGGACGGCTATTGTCAAATGAACTGGAAAATTTTCTCCAGTTTTAGTGTTCGAGCCTTGTGAATTGTTCGGCTCGAAGTACAGTGACCTAAATCGATTTTCAAATGCTGATACTTATTTTAAAAAATAGAGTGAGCAGTAAATTCAATATTTTCAAGTGATAATAAATAAGCAAAATTGAGGAAAAGTCGCATCATCTCTAACAATGAAGAACATTTGAATGCGTATTTCGACTCTTGCTCATTGCGTTTCTTCTATTCTATGGTGAAATTTTAATTTCCCGAAAGTAAATTAGTCTATTTATTTTATATTAAGTATCTATAAGAAGACGCGAAGAGAACAGCCATAGATCTAGAGATCAACGCAGCCATAGGACAACCATACCCTCTAGCTTATCAAAGTGAGAAATTGTTCGTTTTTCTTGCAGTTGATTTTGCCGTGTAAGTCGTAGCACGATCTTTTTAGGATATTATTTTTTTTATCTTCAATTTACAACGATTATCTTTGAAAAAGTTGTCCACCCCAGTTTATCAACATCAACGAAATTTACTCAGATTCTTGTAGGAAATTAAATTTACATTTTTCTTCTTTCCGCTACGAGTGGCAAGGGGTATTGACGTTTGGCGTTTTTCAAGTAATAATTGTTGGTAAGAATATTGAGGCCCGTCATTTCAAACTAGCACAATTCAATTTTTGGACTAAAAGGCATCAAATGCAACTTGATGAAAAATTAAAATACTTGACGCAAAAATTAATTTTAAAACTCTGTCTCTTAAAATTCTAAGTTGAATAATTACAATCAAATATACTACACGGACAAAAAACTATTTTACCGTAAGGATGAAAGAAACTCTGCAAACAATAACACATAATTCATTTACCTATACAGGAAACCTATAACAGCTTCTTAAATACAATGTAAAATATTCTAACTGATGCGTGAAAAAATGTTCGATTCGCTTTGGCACTTTTTCTTGCCAATAGTAAGTGCATCGGACAAAACTGAGCTTACATTGTTATTTTACTCACAAATACCAAACAATTCAGGTTTCCAGCAGCATTCATCGGTACATGTTATCAGATCCTATCATTATTTTACACAGGTAACCGAATCAAATCTGGAAGCTAGACAATAAAAAAAGTTTACAAAGTTGTGTCTTGAATTGAAAACAATGGCAAAGTAATTAGGGACATGAGGGTCTAAAAAACGAACTATTCACATTATGTAGCAAACATGGTGCCTATTGACGAGGACTAGTATTTACTCTTCTCAAGGCTCAACCTTGCGCCATAGGTTCGAGACACCAAGTTCCAGCTGTCCATGAATCGATCCATGCACATTGCTAAGCATTTCTGTGGGAAATGAATGTATGTTAAACAGGTTAAAGAAACTATAACACCGTAGAAAAATATTTTTAGTTTCTCTAATGAGCTATAAGCAGATAGGATTGCTGAGAACATGAGATTTTGTTCTGCCACTACTCAGTATTTAGAAAATTCATAAATTTATGATTGACATGTTCTCTAATCCTTCCTCTGGACATTGGAAACAACACAAATAACCAACACAACACGCATTCTTCAGTATTTTTCTAGCTAAGTGTGACACAAGATCACATTCTGCTGACCATTAGAAATTATACAAATAGGCTTTTTGCTATCTTACTGCCACTAAAGCACCAATTATAATTTGAAATATTTTATATTTGCATTCAATAACATATCAGTTTTTGGCTTTTTGCCATTTCAATTGTATACAAGCAAAATATTAATAACTTCTACTCATTCAGTGCATCACTTTTTCTTAATGGCCTGCCAAACTGCCAAAAAAAATTTAATTAGCACTCCATTTAACATCTTTTTACCTGTTCAGAATTGTCCAAAGATGATCCAGGCTTAGGGATGCATCTAGTAAAGCACTGGTCTATGACATTCTGAAAACAAATAAATATAAAGGTAGGTAAATTTTTCATCAAACAGCATATATGTATATATACAAAATATTTATCCACATATGTCTTGAAATTTAGTAGAGGACTTTCTATAAATCAACAAATATATTTACATACAAAATACATGGAATAAAATCAACCTCACTTACAGATAGAAGTTCTTGTGTGTTGAGGAGCATCATTTGCTGCTTTACTTGGGTCATAAGAGCTTCCTTCTGAGCTGCTGTCATTTTACTGAGGTCTGCACCTTCCATTTTGTTTTAATTTACCTACTGAAATAAGGTCTCTGTTATGCAAGCAAATAATATTATTTAAAAAATCATCATGATCAAAATTCCAATATAATAACCTATGCATCAGGCAGGCTGCAGGCCTATTAACTGCAAAACTCTTCCTCGGCAAATACCCTGATGTTTTTGCTAAAGAAAGAATGGTAATACCAGTACATTGGACAACTGGGAAGAATGGATTGAATCAAGCCTTGTCAGACAAGGCTTGTCAATACTAGGTCAACCTGAGACTAGTATATCCTTATATAGACCAGACAAATTTCTGAATTTGAATAATTTGGCAAATTGTAATGCAGAAGTTAAATTATTGGGCATCTTGATCTGAAGTTGATCCAAGTCCATTGTGAACATCAGACTTCTTTTATAACTATCAGAGTATGGGGTTTATGTTCTTCTGCAGTTGTAAAACAGAAAATTTCTAGTACACTAGAAGCGATGTTAAATAAATTTCTAAAATTCAATCATTTGTTATAAAAAGTGTCACTGATCAATCAATTTATTTAGACTTAATTAGTCCCAAAGAACCAGTATAATTCTGAACTTCTGAAGCAATTTCAAATAGGTAGGCTTTAACCAGTGGTTAAATTTCAGAGTACCAAGATTGGCGCGGGTTCAATCCCAGCTCTGTGTGCCAGTTTCTGGTCAGAATCGGCAAGGAGGCCGGGCGGTTAAGCAAAGCAGAATTGTAGCAGCGAGTTGCAAGTTCAAGACCGCAAAATGCTGTGAATGTTCTGCGATGTTAAGAATCGGCGACAGGCCTACGTCCTATTAAACGCTGAAACCGCTATTATTATTATTTATTATAACACTGCATATTTGAAACTTCAAAAATGTTTTGAATCTATGAAGTCTGCCTAACTGTAAACTGTATATAACACATTCACATTATATATCAAATGTAAGGTAGGTATTCAGACAGTTAAATAATCTTAGAAGAACACCAGACAAAAGTCACAAAACTATTAATCATACCAATCATAACCTATGTTGCTTTGAGGCTGAGCATTATAGTGAGCAATAAAGTATATACCACATACTTTTCAATTTCTATAAAAGAATTAAACCTTCATTGTTTGGTAATGCTAGGCTACCATGCTACAATTGAATTTTGTAGGCATGTTGGGGATTCATTTATTTATTACATAGTGGCACTGTGGCAACTGGCAAACCAGAGATTTTTAGAATCGGTTCATATTTAATTTCCTCATTTTATTCGGCGCAAGATTTAAACCAATAGCTAACTCATGACATGTATGATATTGCTGTTTGCTGGTACTGGTAACCTGGTAGGCGGTAGCCTAGTCTATTTTACTATTTATGATACTTTGCTGGTGCCTGGTGAGTGGTGACAGCTCCAGCCTCCAGGCAAAGAACTCAACAATTATAATTTTATTAACTTGAGGGAGCCTGGGAGTCGTGGGAGAGTTTAAAAACTCTCGGCTTTGCCACTACACAGGCGGCAGGCAGCCAGGCCTTACACTTCACCGGCTGTTTTTTTTTTTAGATTTGCGGGAACCTCTGAACTTCTGAAGACTACCGGTAGTCCGATCCAATGCGGCCCCATGACTCACGAGTCACGACCACGAGTCATGACACTCAACAGGCACAGGCACACCCGCACAGCGGCACAGGGTTGTGAGTGTGACTTGTAACTTCAGTTGTAAGTTATAGTTGCCACAGAATCTTTTCAATAAGAGCCCAATAAGTTTCTTTCATGAAGTTCAACTTTACGATCTTCACAGTTTCTGTCAATCGGTACACCCACTTGCCTACTCAGAGTTTGGTTGGTCCCTTATACTCCCTAACAGTCATTTAAGAATCTGAACACCGGCCTGGCATCAGTGGCATGCCGCCTGCTTAGCTATTCCCATTTCCCTGGAAAGTTTCATGCGCTTCTATCCGCACGTCTAAACTCTATAGTTCCAACTTCCAAGCAAATATGTAAAGAAAACAGATGCATCAAGAAGATATTTTCAAATTATTGATTAGTTTTTGTATTCCGTCAAGGTTTCCAGTAAAATCATTGTCGGTCAAATAGCTTCAGTAATGTCCAATAAGGGAGAGCAGCCGTTGGCTACAAATTTAACTCTTCAAGTAGCACTTGATCAAAGGCTTAGCCTAAACATAAGTCTCAGACACTTTTCCGGCCAGAATTCATGATTTTTTTTGCATGTTCACAGCAAGCCTATAATATCTCTCTTAACGAATGAACGCATCTGATGAAACTTTGAATATGTGTTTTCAATAGAACCTAACGTTGATGTTAAGGTCGTTATAATTTTCCCGATTTTGCCATCGTTGGCAATTAATAAGGCCATACGGGCCAAAGCTCACAGTGAGCCTAATATCTCGTAAAATACTGAAAATATTATGTTAAAACTAAGAATATGCTTTCGTAACCGATACCGGTGAGGTTTAAGTCGCGCATAAAAATAAAAAAAGGTCATATTTTGCTTCAGTTGTGAATTTAGGCTCGCTGCAAATTTTGGCCTGTATGGCCCGTATAAGTTACGAAAGAAAGGCGAAATCGAGAAATTGATTACGACCTAAAAATCACCGTTAGCTTCATTGATGAACATATATGTAATTTCGTTAAAATCTGTTCAGTACTTTGGAAGAAATGTCTTGTTCACTGCAAATTTCGGCACGTACCGCCATATAACTCAAAAATGAAGGCGAAATTTTAAAACTTTTCGCGTGATAAACATCACCGTTAGGTGCTTATGAATACATGTACCAAGTTTCATTGAGCTACGTTCATTACTTTGGGAGATATTCCTTGTTCACTGAATTTGGGGATTGGCCGTGAGACCGGCCGCAAGTCCGGCCGTAAATTTGTCTGAGACGTTAATTTGCCGCATAACTACGAGTCGCAGTTCGCGCTAGAAAACACTGCACGTTACACCAATAACGAAACAGCTCACAGCCATAGCGTTACAAATTCCCACATAATGAGACTTCTAAAAGACTAAAGTCAGTAGTCTTTATTGATTATCATCCCCAGTGTGAGATTTGATTTCGTTGTAGTTTTGGAGTTTGCGGTGTCTAATTTACGTGTGTTAGATATTTTCGTAGCCTGATATTTATTTGTGAACTCTAAATTTTCGAGTGCAACGCCGCTTTTTCGTAGCTAGTTTACCGCCCGTAGCTCTTATTTCGAGTCTGAATGGATTTCCGCAATGGCAAAATTTTACGTTGCAAGTGACATTATGAATCAGTTTTGCATCCTAGTCAACTGACTTATTATTATATTAAAATATTAATGAGTCAGATCAAGCAGAAGAGTTTAACTTGTTGTGAACATCGGAATTGCGAACTGAGTGAGGTCAGGTAGATTATTATTATTATTCCACGAAACATTTATCGTACCGTCTGGTTCACACGAACTTTGAGGGCACGTCACACATAAGATTAATATCAAGCGAGAAATAAAATAGACACGAGAAAGGATGAGAACGGATAAGAACTAGATTTATAGGCTCTAAGAAATAATTCCGTCTTTAGCCGTCGACGACAGACCTGCAAAGAAGGAACCAAAGTTACGGAAGCCGGCAAACCATTCCAGGTTCTGGCGGCGACGACCGGGAACGCTCTGTCGCCGACGGTAGGTAGACAAATAGATGGATGGTACGACGATCGAGGTGCGCTGTTGATGACCAGCGCAATCGTCTTCTAGAAGGCAGATCCGACACGCGCTGCAGACCTTCCGTGAGATAAGGAGGCGCCAGACCGTGAAGGCATCGGAAAGTCAGAACAGCGTGCGCTGCTGAATATGCAGCCAGTAAAGATTTCGCAATATCGGCGTCACACGGTCGAATTTTTGCTTATTGCACAAGAGTCGAGCAGCAGCGTTCATTACGGATTGCAGTTTATTGAGTGCCGCGGTCGGAAGTCCAAAAAGTGTGGCATTACCATAGTCCAATCTGGTCAGAAGTCAGAACGAACTCCACCACAAGGGCCTCAAGGACCGGCCTTGAAAGACAGCGGCTGATGCTACGTATTCTTCGCAGAGCGCCAAAGCAAGCGGTGTTGACTTTGGCAATGTAACTGTTCATTGAAAGTTCCGAGTCCAGAATGCCCCAACTGGCGCACAGAGCTGGGATCGAACCCGCGCCTCTCTGCGCCAATCTTGGTACTCTGAACTGTAACCACTGGGCCACCCTGTCCTGCATTTCATTCATGATTCATCACGGGATTTAGAGAAATATTCATGAGAGAATTATTCGCGAATGTTCGGTGGTTCGCGGTTGTCTGAAGAAGTTAGTCGGCAGATTTAAACAACACGTGGAACTCGATCGGCATTAGGAGAAAGTAAATGATAGGTTTGAAAACAACAAAAAATATCACCGAACTAAAACAATATAAATTATATTATTAAATATATTCTATCAGTCGATCACTCTCAAATCACGGATTTCACCCAATGAAACCGTGTTTTAGAACGAACGTAACGATGGGTGAAGGCTGTTGAATGACTGTGCTTCTGGAGCTAAAGCAAAGCTTTTTAGATAAAGTTAGCATTTTCACTTGCTGGACGAATGAGAAGATTCCTTGAGTAATGATCATTTGCTGGGACCGCACTTTCTTGTATGTTGATTGGTGCTTGCAGTCTCGTGGAAGCAAGATGGATATTTCATTGGTTTGAGACCCATGTCGAAAGTGGGAGCGACAAACTATTTGCGAATTGCGCTAAGTTATGAATGACGAGCTCATCCAACCACAGGTTGCGAACTGCGGGCGCAGGCAAGAGCGCTCCATTACATCCGGGGCAGATTTGGTCTTCGGCAAGCTTCTCATTCGATCCTGCAACGCTGCGGCGTCAGCCGGTGCACCGTAGCCAGAAATTTGGGTGTCGTCGGCGAACATGTGCGGATTTAAACTATGTGAATCTATTATATGCAATACGTCCACAGTATATAACAGGGAGAGGATCTGGCCGAGAACTGATATCCATGTGGTACGCCGCAAGTGACCAACGATGGCGTAGAAGAAGAGTTTCCGCCTAGAGCGCATTGGAAACTATTGCTGCGATAGGACTCGAACCGCAACAACACTGTGCCGCGCAGGACGAATGATTCGTCAAGTCGACGCGACAAATT